AGTGAACATATGATTTTCTAATTGCAAAAAAGACTTCTATAACTAACTTCTGAATTACTTCACTTTTTACTGAATTATTTTGGCAGTCTATAAAATAGAAGGTGAGAAAAACACATTTTCCTCCACTAGGTAATCTGTATATTTCACTAAATGAAAGGTTTGGATCCAACCCAATTTTTTATCAAATAATTGCTTGAAATCCTTCCATATATTTTCAATTTCTTAATCAATTATTATTATCCATGAGGTCTTTAGAATGCCACACCAATAAATCATGCATGAAAAATTTCCATGCCATACATGTGATTATGAGAAGTGTCAAAGTAACATTAACCATTGAAGATCACATGCACACACACACATATATAGAAAATTGCTCTTTAAGGGCTTGAATGTTTTAAACATTATAATCATTCTCACCTTCCTTTAGTATACAAAAGGTTGAACTGACTGCCACTCTGAGAATCTGATGATGTAATTAAATGTCAGGGGGAGTGCCTGAGCTCTGAGATTTATTAATTGCATTGTTGTTAAGGAACCTCTCACTTGTTTGGTCATTATATATTTTTATTATTATTATTAATAATAATATTATTATTGTTGATATTAATACCTTCTTTATCTTTCATACTATTCATAATTAATTTTAGTATTTAATTACATCAAATGATTTAGCATTCCATGTTGCAATCCAAAAAAGGAAACAAAATGGTTGTAAAGTCAGTTGCAACCAGCAGTTGCGATCATTTTTATATGACACAAAGATGGTAGCAACCATCATCAAAAGTTGTAGCCAGTATCCTCAGAATGATTGGACTTTTATTCCAAATAAAACTTTTCAAAACTTCAAAACTGTTTTTAAAATACCAAAACTATTTTAAAACTTCAAATCTCCAAGATTTTAAAAAAAGCAAAATGACACCATAAGTGCTTTATGTGAAATTAGATCTTTTTCAAAAACAAAAAAAAATGAAACTGAAAATAATGTGTGGTGGAAATTGGTCATCAAAAAGAACTTTCTACCATTAGGATCACAATACACTACTTTGCCAAAAAACCTATTACAGTCAAAACCCATTAAATTCATATAATTTCATAATCATAATAAAATCCTAATAATCAATAAAATCATAACTTTTACTTTCATTATATGCCATCATATAAAAAATTTTGCTTTTTAAATTTCATATATATCCTATACTAAGTCGTAAATTCAATTTTTTCCCTTGTTATATAAAAAAATGAATTCAAGTTTCCCAAATTAAGTACAAAAATATAAATGATAATAATATTTCGATTGACAAAAAAAGGACAAAAAGCAATTTCTTGAAAATGTAGAATCTGTCAAAAGCTTTTAGTTAATAATAATTGGGAATTTTTCATAATTACAATAAATTTTTTTATCTTTTATAGAAAAAATCTCTGTAAAGTTATATATATATTTCCTATTTCATTATATCGAAATTAAAGAACAACTCTCAATAATGACATAATTCAATAAATTTATAAAATTTGTTGTGCAGACCTATGAATTTAATGAGTTATCATATTATTATTTTTTGTTATGCGCGAAATTCAAATTGGCCAATCAGAATTTGTATTCAAACACCAAACTTTCAAATTTGATTTTCTGATTTTATTATTATATAATTAAATTTTATCTTAAAAAAGAATTTTTTAACAAAATGAGTAGTAATAGTTTTTCATCCTTAAAAAAGGTTAACCGATTTTTCAACAATCTTATTGAATCCAAGAATGATGCTCGGCCATTAAAACATATTCTTAAACTTGTAAATGATTTTACAGAACTATTAAATGATTCAGATTATTATGATGTAAAAATTAAAGTTGGAGAGGGTGATGATGTTAAAATTTTTAAGGCTCATTCCAGCATTTTAAAAGCAAGATCTTCGTATTTTAAAGCTGCCTTGTCAGAAAATTGGTTAAAAAAACTTGAAAATGGTATTATTATATTTGAGAGAAAAAATATTTCTCCAAGAATATTTGAAGTTCTTTTAACGTAAGAATTATTTAAAGTAATTTACTTATTTATCATTTTTAATTTTTTAATTATTATTTATATTATTTATTTTTTTCAAAAAGTTATATTTACAATGGAATTTTTAGCGTTAGTGGCATGAATTCAGATGAAATTCTTGAACTACTCAAGGCCTGTGATGAATTGTGCTTTAATGAATTAATTGATGATTTACAAAATTATTTAATTGTTAAAAAAAATGAATGGATCAGAAACAACTTAACTTATGTTTATAGAATTTCATCACAATATCATTTATCATTTAGTAAACTTCAAGAGAATTGTGAAGAATTAATTTGTGAAAATCCTCAATTATTTTTTTTTGATTCTGATGATGATGGTTATAAAGTTATTGAAAAATCAATGATTTTGTCAATATTAGAAAGAGATGCTTTAAAAGTAGAAAATGAAATTGATATCTGGAACTATATTATTCGATGGGGAATTAGACAAATTGAAAATTTGGAAGAAGTAGAAGAAGAGAAAAAAAGAAAAATAGCAATTAAGTTGGGTCAGTATCCATCAAAAAATAAAAAATTAAAATTAATCAAACTAGGAGAAGATATTTCAGAGTGGAACAACGATAATATAATCAAATTGAAAGCACTTTTGAGAAACATTATTCCATTAATGAGATTTAATATGATCCCTTCAAATGATTTTAATGAGAAAATCAAACCTTATGAAAAGGTTATTGACAAAGAAATATATGATGAAATACTTCAATATTACAATCATGTTGATGGATGGCAACCAAAGCTATTACTTCAAAAAGGTCCAAGAATCAGAAGATTATTAAATTTAGAAATGAAATCTTTAATTTCAAATTGGATCAATGAAATTAACTTAAATGATTTACCATATGAATTTGATTTGATTCTAAGTGGATCTCAAAATGGTTTTTCAAGATCAGTTTTTGAGGATAGATGTTACAACATTCAAAAAACAGTTGTCATCATGAAAATTAAAGAAACGGGAGAATTAATTGGTGGATATAATCCAGTTTGTTGGAACTATGGAGACAAGCCATCTGATCAAACTTATTGGATTAAAACAAACAAAAGTTTTATTTTCAAGATTGATCAAAATGAAATAAATAATTCAATTTTAAGTAAAGTCAGGCGTCACAAAAATGCAATATTTCATGACAGAAAAATTCTAGATCATTTTGGTGATGATATTAAATTTCATGAAAAATTAATCAATTTTTATGATTTATACATATGTAACAGTGTTAATAATCAACCTTATTGTCATTATAATATGTTACCTTGTTCTTATCAAAAAAATTTAAATATTGGAGAAAACTATCATTTGTTAGAAGAAATTGAAGTATATAAATTAGTACCAATTAAATATTAAAATTTGATTTTCTTTGTTCATGTCAAAATAAATATATTAAAGAATCATTCAAATTAGTAAACTTGTAAATGATTTAACAAAACTATTAATAAACCTCTATGCATAGACTATTTATGCATAGTAAATTTGATTATACACATACATTTTCATTTAACAAATAATATTATTATATTCAAACAAGGTGTATTGGAAAATGTTACATTAAGAACCAAACGGATTCTAGCTTTTTTATAAGAAAATATTTAATTGGTGACCATCAAGATGATAATTTACATTTGACAGAGACCATTAATCTCAAATTAATGTTAATAATCACAAATAATATAAAATGCCAACCCAACTGATCTTAACCATCCAATCGATGTTTGCCGTCAATAACAGTAATAGTAATAATAGTAAATGGCATTCATCATAATATAATAAATATATTATGTTACATAAAATTGAAATCCATAATAAATTATCCAAGTAGTAATTGCACTAGAATGTTTTTTAATCAATATTACGAATACATTTTGGATTTTGAATTTATGAATGAAGAGAGTAATTCATGAGTATAAATTGCACTTCATGCAAGAATTATTATAGTTCTATCTATGTTTTTCTTTATACCAGTAATGGAGCCACTAACGAGAGATTTGTTAGCTTCATCAGAATTGTTCAAATTATATCCCGAGATTAAAATCTTCGGTTCGTCAATTGGTGTTCTTTTTTAAATTAAAAAGTATAAAATTTAATAAATTAAAATAATTAAAATTGAAACTTTCTTGCAATGCTGGAAATCCAGTAATTTCAAGACTTCTAGCACAATCCAGCACCTTTTGACAAATGATAATATCAGTTATTGCACAATATAACTGGTAATCAAACTCGCTTTTGAAGTTAATTTGCATAATAATATAAAATGAAGCTATATCAACAGAATACAAATTCTTGACCTTTTGCGTTTTGTCACTAGAACAAATTTTTCCAATTTAACTGTAGATAATTTCAAGTAAACTTACTTAATAGTACAAGTCAATATCCAGCAAAGTTTGTAAAAACTACGGAATTATTAAAATATTTAGCAAAGATCAATCCGTCAGTATTTGTTGGATCTCCATCACTATCTATACCCTTCTTAGTATATTATCAGCTGATTTCTTTTGTTACTTCAGGATCAAGATATAGAGGTGGGTCGGATACTTTTTTAACCCTTTTTCATAAACAAAATTTATTATGCTGATCATGCGTTACAAAGAATTACCTTTTTTTTAAGGGACTTTTTCTTTTGACATCGTAGATGCTCGGATGAGTTTTATTAATGATCTTTTACATTAGAAGTAAGTCACTTTGACATTTTATATTCAAATTCATAAGATTTAAAGTCGATCTTTATCTTTCATGCATTATAATAATCACGTGAAACTGACCATTGATTGTAAATATGGGAAATAATGAGGCTGAAAATTTTAGGTTCTTTCTTTAATAAATAAAAAAATGCAAATTAAAGAAATAATTTCAACTAACGAATTAAACAATTCTTTGATCAATAATGAATTCGAAATTGTTGATAAACCACCAGCTCAAGAAAAAAGAAATGATGATGATCCCATAAACAATAATCAAAATCAAGATAATCCTGATGATTTTATCAATAATGAATATGATGAACGCATTAAATATCAGAAAAACAATCAGGCTTTAATCAATGAGATTAAACATGTACCTCAAAAACAAGAATCTGATGATAAAAACATTTTAGATGAAGGTAAAATAATATAATAATCTATTATATACACATATATATTATTACACATAAAATTAATAAAATAAAATAATTTTTAATTCCGTACTTAGCTTCAAGCCCACCAACTCAAGAAAAAAGAAATGATGATGATCCCACAAACAATAATCAAATTCAAGATAATCCTGATGATTTTATCAATGATGAATATGATGAACGTATTAAATATCAGAAAAACAATCAGGCTTTAATCGATGGAATTAAAAATGTACCACCTCAACAAGAATTTGATGATAGAAACAATTTAGATGAAGGTAAAATAATATAATAATCTATTATATACACATATATATTATTATACATAAAATTAATAAAATAAAATAATTTTTAATTCCATACTTAGTGCTTTCTTCAAGCACTGACGATACTGGATTACGATATAGAAAAGTTTCATCTTCAAATTCTGAAAATGAAAATAACATTTTACTCGATGGACAAACTCGATTTGAGAGTTTGAATACAACTACAAAACCCAGCGCTGCCAAATCTATCTTTTCAACAAGAATACATGGAACATGGATTTTTTTGTTTTGTCTTATTGGCTTTGTCCTAGCATCATTAGTATACCGATTGGTAATGTATTTTAACTGTTCATGATAAGATTTTTTATTTAATTAATTTTTTTTAAAAAAGTTGATTTAATATCACGCAGGATGTACTTCATGTTGATGAGAAGAAGTTTCACGTGAAGGTATGTAATATTTTATAGCAGAATTATTATTTAACTTTTTCTATCATTAATAGTTATTTCTATTAAGATGAAACCTTTTTTGGAAGAATTCACAAATTCAACTGCAACTTTAATGGATGAAATGGATGAAGTTGACTTACCACGTATGTTTTAATGTTGCATTGTATAAAATAATTAAAATATAAAATTTAACTGACATCAGTGATTTTAATTAGCATCTTCAAAAGTTATGGATGGGACAGTATTTTGTCGTCGATTCGCCAATATTGTTGAACACAGTCCAGCATTTAAGGATACAGGACATGATATTGCCATTTTATTGCGTGAATTCAGTTTAAAAATCATGGATGCAGGAACGTCACTTGAGGATATGTATAGAATGGGTGACATGTTATTTTGGACACTAGATAAAAGTATTTCTGAGATAATTTTGAAATTAAATCCGAGTTTATTTGATAAAATATTTGAAAAAGATGACCAGTCTTTTTTCAAAACAAGAATTCAAGATATGATTGACGATGTACATAAATTTCAGAAAAAGGTAACCTTGGCAAGAAAAGCAATAACTGATGCAGAAAATTTTCGTGATAAAGCTGAGAATAAAGTTAGAGCTGGTAAAAAAGAAGCCGAAAAATTTGTTAATAAACATCCTAGTATAAATGAATACAGATTTAAATTAGTTGCCGAAAATTTGGAAAGAGTCGATGAAGATATCTCAATCGATGTCGAAAATGCAAAATTTGAATTAGAAAACGCTGATAGAATGTTAATGTTATTGGAAAAGTCTGCTGAAGGATTGGATAGAATTATCAAGATATTAAAAAATTATACAAGTAAACTAATGGATGTTGATGCACAACTTGATGGAATGAGCAGAGTCTCGAAGAGAGATCTAGACAGGCTTGAAAAATTAGTTGAGAATTTGAGAGAAAGTCATATAAACTTTAAAAGGAAAGACGAGACTATTGGTTAGGATATTTTTTCTTAAATATCAACTTTTCTCTATATTTATAAATTTATTTTCACTTTTATTTTTTGAATGTATATTATTAAAGTAATAAATGTTAATAAAATAAAATAATTCAAACTGTTAAAATATCATACAATTTCAGATGTCTTAATCAATCATTCATTATCTTTTAATTTTGTTCTCAAGAACACTTGTCAATTTTGGAATTTGTTACGTGTCATTAATATCACGTGAATGTTGAAGATCGGTCGTGGTATTTTTTATTCCTATCATTTTTATTTGAAAGTGATGAGTAACTTAAAATATGTATTTTGAAACCTTTACCATACAAAAAGAAACGTTTATATGTGAATGAGCTACCTGCTAGTGAGTGATGAGTACGCTTTTTGAAACCTTTATTGAAAAATATATCGAAACTTCTATATCAAATAGAAAGTTTTAGAATTTAAATATTGAAACAGTTTGAATGTGTGTTTTGCGCACTTTAACTAAAATTAATTTTTGAGTCATATATTATTACGTGTAAAATACCTCTATTTTCAAAACCATGTTTTATTGTTTTTTTTATTTTCTAAATATAAATCATTCAAAGGTTACTCTAATCGATTAATTGATTTTAAAATCAAATGACATTGCAACAATGGAAAAGTCGATGAGATCGCATTATTCAATGGGAAATAAAGAATTAAAGATTATCTTATAAAAGATATTATTCTGTTAATTGGATTTGATTAAAATATCTTAAATGGTTTTTATAAAAAAATTACTTCAATCCCATTATCTTCTGTGTAAATTTAGTGGAGTTTCTTCTAATCCACAATGTATGGCCCATTCATATAATAGATTATATTAAATAATGCAATTGTAGAATAAAGTATAATGTTTCTTTGTTGAATATTTCCCGGGTGAATAAAAACAGGAACAAAAACTCTACATGCATAAAGTAATTCATGATTAGGTATATATATGTAAAGAAAATTTTAAAATTGCTGCTTCAAATTCAGCATGAAAAATTGGATGACCAAGAATTATTAATTCATCTTTCCTATCTGGTGTAAATAGAGTAAATTAAAGTAATAGCTTGTACTTTATTTAATCAAATCTAATTAGTTGCCAAAAGATAATAATATATGGAGAAATCTTTTAAACATTGAAAAACAGTTTATTTTTTCAAAACCAAATAAGGTGGAAAAAATGGCTTTATTTTCTAAGACTTTGGCAAAGTTTTTATTTTTATTGGTAAAAAAAAGCATTCTTTTGCATCTAACATTAATCCAAATTACGAATCAGGTCAGTTTGGTTTTCGCATATTTTTTTATTTGTATAAAAAAAATGTTGTCACGGGTTTGATGTCAAAAACCACTTGAATGGTATCTTTCCATTGTTACAGATTGAAACTCTTTGTCGACTGAGCCTTTGAATAAGTTGCTGATGAATTAGATGTTTTAGACGATGATCTCAAATTATAATATATTAAAGCTAGTTCACGAGTATATAGAATAAGATTTTTATTTTTTAATTATTAAACAGAGAGGGATCTTGACAAATTTCTTCACAAGACCCTCGCCACCTTTTACTTTTTCTACAACAAATGCTAGTAAATCGAGCGGTATATTGCCAAAATTAGATAGTGTTGAGGTACGGGAAAATTAGTAGATGATGTAACAAATGAAAAAACTCTACAAGATTTATTCTGTTGGTACTAATATTGATGATATTAGTGGAAAGCGGTAGTTCATTCTGAATAACTTGAATAAAATTCCGGTTGATGTTATTCAAATTTTGTTGATGATAAGGAAGAACCATTTAGAGTTTAGTTCACCTTTATACATTCTTATCGAAGTAAAGAACAAGATACATTTTATTTTACTATTTTTTAATCGGTGAGTTTCACAATGAATATTATTGTTACTATTATGGATAGATTTACTACTTCATTTGTAGTAAGATCATTTTTCATATTTATTATTTTCCCAATGTATCGTTACACACACGATATATTTGTTGAGTTGATTTAACAGCCTTCTCGAATGATAATGACGTATATTACTAACTAATTATCAAAAATGTCTAATGATAGTTTATTACCTCTAGAAAATGTTAACCAATTTTTTAACAATCTTATCAATTCTAACGATAATGCTCTACCATTAAAATATATTCTTAAACTTGTAAATGATTTAACAAGCCTATTAAATAAATCTGATTTTTATGATGTAGAAATTAAAGTTGGAGAGGATGATAATGTTAAAATTTTCAAAGCCCATTCCAACATTTTGAAAGCAAGGTCTTCGTATTTTAAAGTTGCTTTGTCAGAAAATTGGCTAAAAAAATCAGAGAATGGTATTATTTTATTTGAGAAAAATAATATTTCTCCAAATGTATTTGAAGTCCTTTTAATGTGAGAATTATCTAATTTAATTTTCATATAGTATTTATTTATTTTTTTAGTTCAATAAAAACTAATATATCTAAAAAATCAAATTTTTCTTTCTAAAAGATATATTTATAATGGGATTGTTGATGTTGACAATCTGGATCCAGATGAAATTCTTGAACTGCTCAAGACATGTGATGAATTATGCTTTAATGAATTAATTGAGGATTTACAAAATTATTTAATCATTGAAAAAAATGAGTGGATTAAACAAAATTTAATTTATGTTTATAGATTTTCATTACAATGTCAAATATCATTTAGTATGCTTCAAAATGTTTGTGAAGAATTGATTTGTGAAAATCCTGAATTATTTTTTTTTGATTCTGATGATGATGGTTATAAAATTATTGAAAAATCAATGATTTTACCAATATTGGAAAGAAATGATTTAAAAGTAGAAACTGAACTTAATATCTGGGATCATATTATTCAATGGGGAATTAGACAAATTGAAAATTTGGAAGAAGGGGAGGAAACAAGAGAAAAGGCAATTGAATTGGGTCAATATTTGCCAAAAATTAAAAAATTAAAATTAACCAAACTGGAAGAAAAAGACATTTCAGAATGGAACAATGATAGTATAATTGAATTAAAAACACTTTTAAAAAATATTATTCCACTAATAAGATTTGATATGATCTCTTTAGATGATTTTAATGAAAAAATCACACCATATAAAAAGGTTATTGACGAAGAAATATACAAGGAGCTACTTCAATATTATTATTATCAATGGCAACCAAAGTTACTAATTCAAAAAGGCCCAAGGGTAGGAAAAGGATTATTAGGTTTTAAATTTAAGCATTTAATCTCAAATTGGATTGATGGAAAAAATAACATACATATTTCAAGTGATTCATCCTATGATTTTGAATTAATACTTTGTGGATCTCAAGATGGATTTTCAAGATTAGTTTTTGAAGAGAAATGTTTTAACATTAAAGAAACGATCACTATCATGAAAATTAAAGAAACTGGAGAATTAATTGGTGGATATAATCCAGTTTGTTGGAATAATAATAGCAGGTCAACTGATGAAACTTATTGGATTACAACAGACAAAAGTTTTATTTTCAAGATTGATCAAAATCAAATAAATAATTCAGTTTTGAGTAGAGTCAAAATACCTGAATATGCAATCTATCGTAGTAAAAAAAATATTAATCTTATTAAGGATAATATAAAATTTCATGAAAGATTAATAAATTTTATTGATTTAGACATACGCAATAGTATTGATAATGAACCTTATTGTCGTTATTCACATAATGAACATTATGAAAATAATTTAAATCTTAAAAATAATAATAAAAGTGTTCATTTATTAGAAGAATTTGAAGTATTTAAAATAATAAAGAATTAAGATATTATAGTGTATTTAATAAAATAATGAAAACATCAGAGAATGTTTGAGAAAAAGTGTATTTTAAATTCTTTTATGTAAGATTGATTTCTTTATTTATAATTTTTTAACAAATACCGTCATTCAAATAAAGAGGAATTATAGCAAATAGGCAATAGAAGGCCTTTTAATAACCAAATAAATTGAAAAAAAAACTCCATAATTTTATTATAAAAGACTTGGCAATAAAGCAATAAAATGGGGTATCAGATTCAAAATTGGCCGCGTGATGCAGGAAATATAATGTAAATAAAATTTTTTAATTTTTTAATAATAATAGAATTAATTATAATAAAATGGAAAATAAATCATCTCACTACAAATAATGATTTTAATGACAACGAGGCAAAGAATTTACCAAATATTAGCTAACCCAATGTTTTTGCAAACCATCCAATAACTATTCTAATATGTCATGTAAATATGCGTGCGAGTGAAAAAGTGAATATATATCTATACCTAGTATATCTTGCTCTTGTAGGTTCAAAGATCCATTCATATATTGTCAATATCGAAGCATAATTTATGGAGCACCAAAACTAATCAATCCACTAAATTTGATTGATGATGCTATACCTTGACATTACTTTAAAAAAGTTGTTACGTTGGAATTTAATAATGATAATGACAATAATTATCATAGTCAAAGTCAACATTAATATTCGTGGGATGGAGAACCTTTACCTGTTAATAGTGGGGTAGGAGTAAACATATATTTATTGCATACAGAATTAAACAAATGATTTTATTATAAATTTTTTTAGCAGATTATTTTTTTTTATTTATTTTTCTGATTTATTTATTTATTTTTTTTTTTTTTTTTGAAGAAATATCTAAAATTCTTGTCAACTTTGTTGTATTGAAATTCTCAAAGATTAAAGGAGATATTAATAAATACCTCTGGCTATTTTGTATTATTATCGTTATTATTATTAATCTTTTTGTAAGAAATCACTTTTTAAGAATTAACTGAAAATTTATATCTATTTTAAAATTAATTTGTTAGTAATCACATTGTAATAAAAAAATATTCATAATATTATAAATAATAATAAATACCCGCATTTTTTACAATTATAAAATATAGTTTGTCCTTCATCAGCTGAACGTAGTTGCATTGTATGATAATTCATTTCTTCATTATCACATTTAGGACATTTTTCTTTGATCTATAATGTATACATGATTAAAAATAATTAGTAATCTTAATCTAATTTTAATACTTGAAAATAAAGAGTGAAAGAAAAAACTTACAGAAGCACTTTCAGTTTTACGACTAACTTGTTTTATTTTTGAATGCCTTAGACGTAACTTTGAATTAAATATTTTCTCATTACTACTTGTAACTATCAAATTGTTTTCATACTCTATTTTATTTTTTTAAAAGAAAAATTAATCAATTTAATGAGTTTTGTTTTTTTTTTTTAATTATAAAAGATTATAAGTTTTACCTTCTGCATCATGTCCACAGTCACAATAGTGACAAACAATTACATCCTCACCATTATTTAATAATAAACTACCACATTCTTTACAGAAAATTGAACTTCTAGTGATTGCTTTAGCTTTAACATCATTTTTATTATTATAAGGAGTTATTTTACCGTTACTAATACTATCATTACTATTATTATTATTGGAAGTTATTGTACCATTTCCCTTCTTCTCACTACTCTTACTACTCTTACTCTTATTACTTTTACTCTTATTACTTTTACTTTTACTTTTACTTTTACTCTTACTCTTACTAATAATTTTATTACTGGTTTTATGAATATTGCTGGGGCTGCTATTATTATTATTATCATCAATATTTTTATTATTGTTTTTAGTTTTTGATTTAGTAGATTTGGTTTTTTCACCTTTTCTTTTCATAATTTTAAGATTTTTGTTTTATATAATAATAACCAATCAAATTCAAAAATTCAGTAATGATAATTAAACGCGGGTTTGTTGTGTAAACTTAAAATTTTCATTTATTTCACAACAAATTTATACTTTTTATTTTTAAAAAAATTTAAAGCAATGGAACGTAAAGTTAAAGATTTGATTAGGTTTGTTATATTTTCTGAATTAAAAAGATCACCAATAAGACGCGAAGAAATGGTGAAAAAAGGTATATATGTATGTGTATGTTTTATAACATTAAATCATTTATTCATTACTCATATATGTGTATAATTTTTTTTTATTTATTTATCATTTTAAAAGCTTTACACGAACCCTCAAGAAATTATTCAAATATATTGCTAGAAGCTCGTGGACAATTACAAGATATACTTGGTATGGATTTAGTTGAACTACCAATTAAAGAGAAAAAAGCAGTCAGAGGTGGTGCTAATTCTAAAGGTAGATATACAAAGCTGGTTAAAAATAAATAAATGATAGAATTTTAAATATCTAAAATTTGATGGTTTAGCAAATAAAGAGAAATCAACAAGTAAATCATACATGCTGGTTAATACTCTTGCAGAAAAATATGATGAGGATTTAAGTGAAGTTATTAATTGGGATAAAAATAATCAATTGGAACATATGGGTGTTCTTTACGTTGTTCTAAGTGTGATCTATGTTAATGGTTGTGTGTTATTAGATGGTAGCTATTATTATTACCTTTACTATTATTACTTTTATTATTGATGCTTTTTTTTAAAATATCCAAAACATTTTGTTCCGTTTTCATTATCATTTATTATTATTATATAAGATCAATTAACACACTATTTTAGACGTTTGCATCTTTATGATGATGGTCACGTTGAATCTGACGACAATGTTGATATTGACGCATTATTACCAACTTTTATAAAACAAGGATATTTGGAAAAAAATAAAACAGGAATTAGAGATCAATCATCAACAGATAATCCTGATAGAGAGCATGTTGAATATCGATGGGGTCCAAGAGCAAAAATAGAATTTCCTGAAGATAAAATGATTGAGTTTATTAAAAATGTAAATATATTTTTTTAAAAAATAATAATCTGATAATAATAATTTGATAATTAATTAATAATTTGATAATTATATATACTTATGTTAATGTATTTGTAATTTGTAATTGGTAGGTGTATGGTGATAATGTACCTAATGATATTGAAAAAAGAATAGAAAGAGTCGCTAAAAACTGGCCAGAATAAATAAATAAATTAAACAAAACACCACATTTCTATTCTTGACTTCTATATTCTTGTAACTTTTCTTCCGATACGTTTACACCATAATATTTCATCAGTATTTTGTCCTAATCTCTCAAGCAAAGGGGATGATTATTGTCCGCAACTTCAATCTATCAATTGCGTCTTATAAAGGTCCGGGCCGTTTCATCGAGGGCCAAAAATATAAATGAGTAAGTAATACTCTTTCTGAATTTAACACACATAAGGAATTATACACAAATATATCATTACATTTTTTCAGGATGGATCCTCCTTCTCTCGTATTATTCAATTTATCTAAATCATGAATTCCCTTCAAAATATTTTTTTTTCTGGAATACCACCATTGATATTATTATTAACGCACAACAAGGATATTTATTTGTTAGTAATGATAATGATAATGATTTGAATATATTGCGAAATTATTAAGTCCCAATCTTGAGTTAACATAGTAAACTTGCGCTTAATTTCCCTATGATAACATGTTTCGAATTTAATAAAATAGACTATTGTCTTAACCGAAGTGATGTGATTTTTTGGTCTACGCAATCCAAACTTAATCTTTAATAATAGCATGATGTGACATTTTTGATCACACATAGCACGACATGTATGATTGTGTGATATGTAAAAGCTCGCATTGTTTGTTTAATAATTGCGAGGCTTAGTATTAGTATTAGTCGATAAAAAAATTTTTTTTTCGAAAAATCAATAAAAATAAAAATAACAACCTCTCGTAATGGAAATTGAATATAGGCAAGGGGTAGTGTTAGCGTTAGAGCTTTAAATATTATAAGAATTAAGAAATTTCATACAAATCTTATTTTTTATACGTATTAGGAGGCAATCTAACTAAAAAAGGAATAAAAAATAAATTCATACGCCATTAGTAAAAATTCATTTTTACAAATTTCTAAAAAAGAAAATTAATCATTGCAATTCGCAAATAAAGGAATGCTATTATTATCTGAAACCTTAAAGTGACACTTCAGTTACATTACTGATAGAATAGTCACATTTCTCCAAATAAAAACAAAGAACAAAATGGGTAAGACTAGATGATTTTTGATTCAAATTTTCTTCCGTTTTAAAGTTTTGATAAATACCCTACGACTTTTAACTAAAAATTCTTTTCTTTATTTTTTATTATAACTCTATCACTGAATGTAAAATAAACGTAATAGTGAGAAAGTTGCTTACATTATATAAAAACCCGAAAAATATAAATATCATGACAATAATTGTAAAAAGTATATCAGAAATGAAGGGAAGAGTCTCCGGAGGGAAGCACTTTGATGATTTTAAAGATATTGTTGCTAATCAAACATATGGTGGTGCTGTCAATATAAAAAAAATCGATATTAAAGCGATAACAGACATTAGTATTAGTATGAGTACATTTTTTATAAACTCTATCCGATTTGTCTATAATGTAGTGACAAAAAACGGAACATCATATGAACATCAAGGTAATAAGTTGGGCACAGGCCCAGGTACTGACCAACCACCATTTGATATTGCTACTAATGGGGAGTTAATAGAGATAAGAGGCAGAATTAGCAGCTTCACAAGCGGATATGTAAGAACCTTGAGATTCATAACATCACAAACAACACTTAATTGCGGTACAGATAGTCCAGATTATGAAGAATTTGTTTTTCCTCCAAATGTTGTTATCTTTGGCAATAGCGATCTTTATATTAACTCTATTGGAGTATATGAGATTATAGGAATCGAGAATGTAACAGAATCTAACTCAACAGCTCTCTCTACAACAGCAGTAATTCCTTATGCTGCAACAGAGACGATATTTGTTGATAATAATAATAATAATCTTCCGATAATTATCGGTCTCGGTGCTCCCTTAGCAGTATCATGTATACTATTACTAGTGCTAGTGACTTTGTATTATAAATATGGGAATAGAAATGGTCCACTCAGAATAGCAGGTGGTAATAGCTAATGAAATTACAATAAGTATATTGTTAAGGAAAATATAGATAGTTGAATAAATATATCTGTATATCTACTGTATATTAAATTACTCAAGTCACGCACTATCTTTAATATATGTACTTGTTCTATTAAATAACTTATTAAATCACGTCATTATATTAATACATACATAACCCAGTAGTCATACAAACTTCCATTGATTTGAAGAAAGCTTTTCTATTTCTATTAATATAAACAACAACAATATTTACAATTTTATTGCAAATTTATCATTTTTTATGATATTTTAATTCGCTTCACCATAATGGGTAACACTTTTAATTTCCCATGGAGGACAATGGTCCATAACCTTGTCACCTAAATAGTCGTGGGAAAGCTTCAGTAATTGAGTCTCTCTACATGGTTCCTTTTTTTTTTGTGTGTCTGCGTGTAGACTTGTGCGTGTGTGTGTGTGTGTGTGTGGTAGATGCTTCTCAATTATATGCAATCGCAAGTTGTAGAGTTTTTTAAAAAGTCATTTCCAAAAATAATAAAATTAGCTGACAATGGACATTATCCAATATGTTCAAAGTGTATTTTGGTTGGGTGTGTGTAATTATTATTTTGAGTTGGTGATTGAGATGATAGAGTTGAATTTGCTCAAGTGAATAGCTGTTTGTGATGTTGGTCATATGTTTAATATTATTATTATATGTGGATTATTGTAACATATGAGGTGGCAGATTTGGACCTACAGGTGCAGGATAATGATTTGTGTACAATACCAATCTTGATCATATTTAATAAAAAGGTTCCTCTTATAAGCATGCAACACTACAATTGCAATCTTTGTAACCACATTGAACTTGTTGTGAGGCTTTGGACAAGCAAAATTCAACAATGCGATTAATAAATCCCAAACGGTGCTCTCCTCGAAAGTTAATGCACCATCATATCATTGGGGATCAATTCAAATTGGCCTTATGCGCACAGAGAAGATGAGAATAACTGTGATGCTTAAATATTTAATACTTGAATGTCGAATGTTGCCTATTGATTTATCTTTTGGTTGTCTAATAGCTGCTTTCAATTAGAATAGCCAAGTTGCTTTTGACATTTGCAATTAATTAGTTTATTTAATTTAAAATAATAAAATACAAAAATATATAGATATGGTTATAGGTAATAATTATAATAGTTTTAATGAATATTAAAAGGAAATTGGTTGTTGACGAAATACTTTGCAAAGTATTGCTATTTGAAGTTTGGAAATCAAACCAATATTTTATATAGTAAATCTTTTGTATTAAAAAAATCGTTACAAATGTAAAAATTAATGAATTATTATATATAGTTAAATCAATTAGTAAATTTAATTTCGTTTGTATATATTATTGGTCAAATTTTGTTCTTTTTTCTAATGTTATAGCAAACCTTAGAGCCAAGTTATATATTTAATTTTGGTTTGGGTCAAATCATATAACAAACAGGAATTTTTGTTACTGATGATTGTTCCTTGCTATGGTATAATCGAATTCCCAGATAACGAGAATCATGCAATTGTTTCAAATTATTTATCGGATCGAAATAAGGCTTATTTACGAAAAAATCACTTCTAGTATCGCAAACTACCTTTATCTAAAACACTCTTCAAACTAAAAGAAAAGGCGGGAGTAAAGTAACAAAAGATATCTTAACAAAAAAGATAGACTGGTTTAACAATAACTAGATTCTTTTGATTCTTTTTGTTAAATTAGTATAAATGCTTAGAAAATAGAAATGAACGAATATTGCAACTTTGTCCATAAAAGTAACATTCAAAGTAGGATTGTGCATAATGATGTATGACGAAACCTTTGACTTTAGTCATCGACATAACTAAAAGTATTGACTAAAGGTAGTTTCTCACCAGGACCATTTGACGATTTGACTAAAGTAAAAGCCCTTAACACAAGTAAAACCACTTGACTTAATTGAAAACATTTGGCGTAAGTAAAACTTGATATAAGCAGCAATAATGTCAAATTATGTAAAAATGTGTGTCTCGGGGATGAATAAAGAAAGAGTTATTATATCATTGTATATATATTGCAATGATGCAAGAGAAATAATCATGGGAAATTTACAAATGTTATATATAATTCGAATTAGAAATTTTACTTAATTAAACTACTTGTTTTTTTCTTTCAAAGTAAAAATGCATCTTCTTTTTAATTAAACTATTCTTTTATTATTACATTTCATAAAATAAATTGTCTTTACATACATATGAGTTAATGTTAAATTGATGTTTTTTCGAATTTTTGACCTTTGAAGTTAACTACACATAATAATAATATTAATAATGTGGCTTGAGCTGTCTTTAGTGTCTGAGTTTGAAGCAATGATCAATATTGCAAATTTAGTTTTTCATTTACATCCTTATCATAGTAATATATAGTAATAGAGAAAAAAAATTGTTGCACGAAAAAAATTGTTACACGCAATTCAACCAAAAAAAAAAAAAAAAATTCATTAAAAAACCAAGTCAAATTTATATTTTATATTTTTACATAATGTCACACATTAACCGGTTATCATTGTTATCACCAGAAAGAAAGAACTTTATATATAAAATTCATAATGAAATGTATAGTAATGCAGCAGCTAATTCCGATAGAGAAAGTAGAAAAGATTATTTTTTTTCATTAGTCAAAAAAAACAAGGAGCTTTCTGAAAATGAAAAAAAATATTGTAA